GTCCTTTCCAACCTTGTGATTCTGTGAATATCACCATTTTTAGTGGAACTGGTCCCTGAAATCTCAGTTGCAGCACTCGGCATATTCTACAGTACAATTATGAGAGTCTTTGTGCAGGAGTTTCTTAAGTACTGTGGGTTAAGGCTTGAAAGGTTATGTCTCTCTCAGTGTTGGATTTAGCTATTGCTTTTTTAGCCTTACACCCCTCCAGACAATTATGAGAGTCTTTGTGCAGGAGTTTCTTAAGTACTGTGGATTAAGGCTTGAAAGGTTATGTCTCTCTCTCTCAGTGTTGGATTTAGCTATTGCTTTTTAAGCCTTACACCCCTCAAGTAACAGAGCCAAGCAGACAGCTGAGCTTCCTTGCAGCAAATGAGTATAAGTGAAGATCTGCATGACCCTTGGCTACCAGACTAGCTCCGTTACCTTGAACTACCTGCAAAGGCAGGGCTGGTAATACTGTAAAATCACAGCAGTTAAATCCCACAACGCCTGCCTCTCTGAGGCCTGAAACAGGAAGATGTGGGAGCTCGCACCACAGTTAAGAATTACAGAAGGAGCTGTAGCCCCGTGGAGTTAGCAAGGCCAATGTGGACACAAAGGGGATGAGCAATGAAAACAGTTGAAATACTTTCTCCCCCACAAATGTGGTCCCTCTCTTACAAATCAGGTACACTGTTGAGAAACTTCAGAGAGAAGGAAATGCTTCTGTTCTCCCCTCCTTAAAGTGTAAAAGACTGGGGATTAAATCCTCAGCCCTACTCTTGTTTGGGGCAAAAGAGCCAGGACATGATAAAGGGGATCCAGAAGACAACAAATCAGGATGTGGTGGAAGCCTATTGCCTTCCTTCTCAGTGCAGACAGCTGCTTTCCCAAAATCCCCTCCCAAAGCCCTGTCAAAAGGAAACTGTATGGTTTTACCTGTTACCTGCAATCAGAAGTATTTCACATGCATTTCAATCATGCACAAAAAAAGTGAGGAAAAAAAATCATGATATGTGATTTTTTGTTGTTGTTGATAAAGAAGACTATGCAGTTAGTGTGTGGGGTGATTAGAGGGTTTTGTTAGCTTCTAAATTTTAGCAGTAGACTTGCCAGTAGCACAAGGGGATGCAACAGCATTAAAACTATTTGATTAGCAACTTCCCTTATATACCTGGAGCACGAGTTTTGATCTGTTTCCATTTCCAGCATCTAAGTTGCCAAGTATTTGAAATACTATAGCTGAGGCATCTAGAAAATGTCATCACCACTTCTCAGTTTATGAGAGGCTTGTCATAGGCTTAGCAGCTCTGAGAAGCTGTAGGTTAGTCTGGCCAATGAGGCAAAAAATGCACATGGTGTTTCAAACCAACGAGGGGATAATGATATTCATATCCACCAAGCAGTTAACTGTACAAGTCCCATTTTTATCAAACTTCTGTCCTGTGGTGATCAGCTTGCACGCGCAAGTCATCAACCTGTGTCCTGGGGTCCCCACACGCTCCTGACCGAGAAGCGTCACTTGCCATGCTTTTGAGTGAAACCCTGATTTGCCAATGCAAAATAAACCCATGACTGCATGGGCACAGATGGATGAGGATGGGATTATTCAAGGTCAGGTTATCCTGTCTGTGCTAACGCAGTAGGAGATTAACGAAGGAAGGATTTTGCTGTTAAAAATGACCCACTGCACTTCCTCCATGTGAGCAGACACTGTCTGTACTGCAGTTGGAAATGTAGCCACAGTCTGGCAGGATGCTCCCAAGCTAACTTTAACCAATCTGGATCAACTGACCATGTAGCAAAGATACAGGAGCGCAGGCACCAACTGCTGACCTACAGCCCTTGGTGGGCTTGTGCAGCCTGGGCTGAAATCTCTGTTCTTCTGTTTCTGCTGTGCTGGTGCTACTCAACTCGTAGTACTGTCCACCCTTCTCATTGCCGTGTGGACACAGCCCCAGCAGCCAGAGTGAAGTCACCACGCTCTTCTTTTTGATCAGAATTACAGGAAGGCAGTGTGGCATCTGGGGCCAGCCCCAAGCTTCCCTCTCGTAGGTGCTCCACTGCCGGTGATGTGAAATACCTCTCCCCAGACCTGAGCAGCTGGCAGACGTGGGGCTGATGCGTTATGCGGCTCTGGTTCGGATGGTTTGTCTTCACAAGGGTGGGATTTATTTCTAGTAGAGATGTGACACAAAAAGAAGTGCCGTGTGAAATTACTGCTCTGTTTCGTACCTATGAGAGAGTGAATTCCCTCCCTTTTTAGTTTGTATTTCAAGGCAAAATAGCTGATTCTTTTTGGTTGATGGAAGAATCCAGATCAGTCTGTTGAAACCTGGCATTAAGTGTTCCTCATGTACCAGAATGGAGAAAATAATTGTCTTTAATCACTTTGGTTTTTCCTTTGCTTGTTCTAAATCCCCCTGGGTGTCTCTTGAACAGGCTCAGAGTCCTTGGCTTCCCCACTATGGAGCAGTTGATGTCCATTTTACTGGCATGGCTGACTGTTTCCGGCAAACTGTGAAGAACAAAGGTGTGCTTGGACTTTGGAGTGGACTCACACCCAGTCTCCTCAAGGTGAGGTTTTGCTTTCATCCCAATCAAAGACTATTCTGAAGTAATCAAGACACACTTTTGGACAGTTGGGGTTATAAAGCTTATGACATGCCTCTGTACTTATAGATGACAGAGGCTGTGACAGAACAGGTATCACTTCAGGCAGATTATAAACCAGCTTTGGAACTTGGTTTGGTCATACTTCCCAAAATGTAAGTTTGGCTTCTAGATGTCACTACTTTCAAGTTCATTTGAATGTCCTTACAGAAGGGAGTTGCTGCTAACACACAAGCCAGGGTAAGGATGGGGGATTGCAAGTCATCCACTTACGACAGCTAAACAAGTTCTGCTTCTCAGCTGAGCTCCAGTAATTTGACATGTTGTACCCAGCTGTAAAGAAAATTGGGCTTGTATAAGCCACTTCCCCGGAAGTCAAAAGTAGTACTTTTGACCAGCTAGTTAACGCATGCGTATCGGTTACTACAGCCCTTGCCAAGTTGAAAGCATGAAATAAAGCACAGTAGCTTAAACAGAGGCAATTAAGTTTACATAAATACATTTTATAGTGCTGTGGTGAGGATTACCTACATGGATTACTACAGGTCAGCTAATGAGTGGTAATTGAGTGACAACGCGATTGATTGTGATGGCCTGCGTGTGCCTGGCCCTACCTTGGCTGGTATAAAGCCACATGGCACCAGAACTGCTGGTGCTGCATGGGATAAAAGAAGAAAATTTTTCAGTCCCTCTGCTCTATATAGACTAAATCCCACATTTCCTACCAGGATTTGCTGAGGTTGCTTAGGATTTGCTTAGGTATTTGACAAATTGTAATGATCTATAGGCTAGCACAGACCTTGTTTCTCACAATATTGTTATAATTAGTTATGTACCAATTATAAACTCCTGCTTTTAGCATGCTGCAGGTGCTAGCCTAGTTGGAGATGAGACTCTGGTTTTATATAAATTAGCACAGCTCTATTAGAAGATGAGATCAGATTTGAAGTCCTAGAAGTTTCCTTTTTTAAGAACATCTAAGCTAAGAATGCTAGCAGTGAGTCTACTATTGCTTTTTTATATTGTGTTGCTTTTTTTTTTTTTTTGTCAGATTGTCCCATACTTCGGTGTTATGTTTAGCACCTTTGAATTCTGCAAGCGGGTCTGTCTGTACAGAAATGGTTATATTGAATCTCCTTTAAATTACAAGCTAACTCCTGGGGTGGACCAGAGTTTACAGCCACAAGAACTGAGAGAATTAAAACTCCTCCGAAGGGAAAATTTTGAGCCAAGGAAATCAGCTCTTGAAAACTGACATCAGAGTGTCCATTGCACATATACGCACTAACTTTCTTAAGGAACTTTGCAAGAAAGACATGCTGAACTACAGGTACCAGCATCTCTGTGTGTTGTGTGGTTTTAGTATTGAGACACCAGTGCCAGGAATGAATAAATCTTGTATCTCATTTGCTGAATGGATATAAACAATACGAATAGCAAGCGTATACTGAACGGGAGAGGTGCAACTAGTCTGAAAACACTATGCTATTGGAACTTAAAATTTCATTATTTTAGGTGTTTTTCAATACTGAATAGCCATTTTGAGATAAAACCATTTGCAGAAAGGCAAGAGAACTGAGATGAGAGTTTAAATTGTATCTTCAAAAATACTAAGAAAATTCAAATGCATTTTTTAAAGTAATCTGAGATACTGAGTCAGCCAAAAATGATAAGCAGTCTAGAATACATACAACATGCAAGAATTTCTACTGAAGTATCTTTTTTTTTAGTGATACTGTGTGAACGTGGCATTCTGTGGATGCAGAATTAGTCTCAGTTCAGTCACACTCCAGAATCCAGTCTTCAGTTTTTGAGACTTACTTGAGAATAATAATTTTGTATGAATCTTTGGCGTAAAGATTAAAATATGCTGCTGCAACCGTGCTTTTGCTAAGAGAGAATTGTAATGTGCAAAATGAACTGTAATACACTGGAATGACAATCTTGCAAACTTAAGTGCGTACTAGAAAATCTTCCCTCCTTTCTCTTGTGTTGTGACTGCATGTATGTGAATTATTTCAGGCTTTGAAAAATTATTTTCTTGAAGTTCTCTAACTGAAATATTTCCTGAAAAATGCAGTTCTTAAATGTGTTAGATATTTCAGAGCCACAAGCCTTGTCATGTTGTTTTGGGTGTTCTTAAAACTCTATTTTTATATTAAACTACTTTTTAGTTCCTGTGCACAGACCCAGGCCTACTGCGCTGCTCAGAACTTATCAGCAGAATAGCACTGTGCTCACAACCTGTGCATTTTTTTTATTCCCCCCCCTTTAACTGCTGTGATCCAGGAGCCACAGATAGTTTCTGCAGATAGGAACCTCTCTGCAGACCACTGGGTTATTGCCAGTGCCAATGCAATTTATAGGCCCATGACCAGTCTAGGGAGCTTTTGGACAAAAAAAGATCATCTTGGTATTACACCTGAGGACCCGCAGTATTGCTCCGGTTCCTTTGTAGAAGCACAGCTATGGAACAGCCCCATCCTAGTGCCTTCTGATGGAAAACCTTAAACCCCATGTCTGCGTGGGAAGGCGGCTCTGCCCTCTGCGGCACGTCCCACCAGCCCCGAGCTGTGGCAGTGTGTGAATCGCAGCAGCTCGCTAAGGCGTGTGCACACCAGCTATGCTCCTGCCCCAGCTGCGGCAGCCTGGGCACAGCACAGGATTTGCCTGCTGGTTTACACTGCTTTTTGTGTGTGTTTTTGTACCGTTTATGTCCGTGCTGGGTGGAAATAAGTAAATCTTAGAAACTGCGTGGTTAGGCCAGGTCACAGCGGGATGAGTCAGTGGCAGATTGATGCAGGAAAAGTCTGTGACTATGGAGAGAGATCTGCAGAAAAATTTGGGATAACTGTAAGGCCTGCCTTGCACCTAGAACTCAGCGTTGATGTACCCTACAGCTGCGGTATCGCTCTTGATCGGCTTGCTCAGCTCTGCTGCAGTGGTGCTTCATACTGGTTTTCTTCTCAGAGAAGAAATGCAAGCGTTGATAGCAAAAGTTAAGATGGTAGAGAGCAGATCCGGTGGCTCATGCATCACAGTGATGCTGTAAGTGCTTTTGGCTCTCTAATCAACCTGCCTAGTGAACGTTTCTCCGTGCCTCAGTTTCCCCATCTGCACAGTGCAGGTAATAATATTGAGACTTATTTCAGATGTATGTGACCTGTGAGTGCATTGGGGAGGAACGGATTTCTAAAGAGTGCCCTTACCTTGTCCTGTACACATACCTGTATGGTTTTTACTAATGTTATATTTCTAAATAGATTTTAAAGAGCGAGTGATGGGTGCATATGAATGTCTGATCAGCTTTTCAAACCTGACAAGAGTCAAGTGAGTCAGAAAGTTACCTCTAACTTGTTTCTGATATGCTAATAACACCTTTGTATTGTAATGTACTCCTACGACCTATAAATCAGTTACTAACCTTTTATCAACCAAGCCTCTGCTTTGGGGGATTTCTCATGCATAGACGTGATTACGCAAAAGGTATTTAAGACAGCACTGAAGCAAAGTGGAGCTTTGTGGAGCACTGACGTGGAGAGCGGTGTATGATCAGGGGGAACCAGTTAACAGCAAGGATAAATCGCAGAGACAACTCTTCGGTAGGTGAACTGCGCCTGAATGACACTGAGCGGTGGGGGTGGGAGGTGGTGGGGTGTACGTCTGTCTGATCTCATCACAGCTGAGTTCAGCCGTGTGACTGACGTCGCGAGTCCTTACTTGGAGCTCTGTGACTCCCCGGGCATCGCGTGGGCGGGGGGATAGGAATGGGAGAGGCCTCTGGGTGGGGTCTCGGCGGAGGCTGGGCGAGGCTGGGCGGTCGGGCTTCAGCCCGGCCACGGCCGGAG